TCCAAAAATGGAGTGTGGAATGGTGGAGCTACTGAAAAGTCCGTGTTCTCTTGGAAACGAAAGCCAGAACTCATTACTCATTTGCACACTGCCTTCTCAGTCTCACCTGGCATCCAGGCCCTTCCCGACTGTGCCCCAGTCCCCTTTTCAGCCCAGTTCCTGTCTTTGTTCCTGCTGCTCTAGTAATAGTGAGCAACTTCTCATCCCCTTACCCTCCTCTCTACTTCTCTCTGCTTCTGTGTGTGCTTTCTGTGTGTCTAGATGGATCCTCCTCCTTTGGCTGGCAAACTCCTATGCACCCCTCAGAGGCCATCTTCAAGAGCGCCCCTCTGTGACTTCTTCCCGTGTGTACACGGAGCCTGTCATACATCCATCTGGAGTACCACTCCTCATGGAGTAAGGGAGTTACCTATTGGCATGTCTGAGACCCTTGCAGACTTTGCGCTTCATCAGGGCAGGGCAGGAACCAGGTCTTTCTGTCTCTGTAACCCCAGCCTAGCACAGAACCTGGTATGTGAAATTTGTGGAATTGAAAGGGGAAAAGGGAAGGCAGAGTCATTGCTCTGTAATATGAGCCATTGTTGCTGCTCTCATAACAGCAGCTAATAAATTTTCAGGGCCCTTGATGTACTAGGCACTGGGCTTCCTACACACTATCTCAGTCAGCCCACCATAGACCGGTGAGCTTAATCTGTGGTTTCACCCATCCTGCAGATGAGGAAATTGAAACTCAGAGAAATTACCCCAATAGGTGACAAAGCTGGCATTTGGACCCACCTTCCTGCACTGTGATCTTGACCACAGTTTCATTGTCCTCATCTTAAAAATAACAGTTGATAAGATTCCTTTGACGCTGAAATGTCATGACTTTTGTGAAGCTCTTCGCACAGTACCCAGCAAGCATCAATAACCATTAGTTCTTTTTAACGAGGGGAAGCACAAGGGCCTTTAGCTAGCAAGGGGCAGGGGAGACTTTGAACTCAGGACTCTGACAACAGAGCCATGCTTCCTAACTCTGTGGCTTATGGGCCAGCCCAGGATGCCCAGCCTTGAAAAGCAAGAAAAACAGCCCAGGGACACCCTGTCTCTTCAGCGGAGGCTCCCGCTCTCCATCCAAGGGCCTCTGGTCAGGTGGAGGGAGAGAGCCCCCTCCACCCATCCCTGCAGAGCTTAAGAAGATGATGTGGAAATTGTTCGGTTGCTTAGTGGCTTAGTCAGGACCCCACCAAGCCAACATTAGGCTGCTACCTGCACCTCATTAGGCTGCTACCTGCACCTCATTAGGCTCCAGCACTAATTATTTACTTCCCCAAGGAGAAGGTAAGTGCAGCACTGGTGCTCAGGGGTTCGGTCCCTAGATCAGCTGGTTCCTTTGCTTGTGACCTCAGGCAAGTCATTGCATCTCTGTCCACTAAGAGTCTCTGATAATGCTCCCAAAGTTGGGATGCGGCCATCCCTCCTTGCCTCCTGAGCCTTCTCGAACACAGGCTTCCTGGGCAAGGGCTAGTGTTTTATTGTATTTTAATTTAATTTAATTTTATTTTATTTTATTTATATTAAAGTATAATTGATTTACATTGCGTTAGTTTCTGATGTACAGCATAGTGATTCAGTTATACACACACATATATATTCTTTCTCATATTCATTATTATTATAGGTTATTATAAGATATTGATTCTAGTTCCCTGTGCTAAACAGTGAGACCTTATCGTTTTTTTATTTTTGTATATAGTGGTTGATATCTGCAAATCCCAGACTCCTAATTTATCCCTACCCCCCTGGTAACCATAGTTTGTTGTCTGTATCTGAGTCTGTTTCAAGGGCTTAGTGTTTTGGATCAACACCAGTGACGGCTTCGTCTCTACATCATGCTTTAAGGGATGAACTTGATTAAGGCAGTCTATGTTAATGTATTCTATGGTCAGTTCCTATAAAAATTTGGGTTGAACAAAAAAAAGTATGTTTTTCATTGAGACTAGAAGAGTTATTGAAAGTACATACAGAGCTTTTTGAAAATCAGACTGTTGCTAATTGGTGGATGGTAATTTAGAAACCAATATTTTAAATTAGGCTCTTGAGTGCGAGGCTGGTTCTAGAGACAGCTGTCTCCAGTGCTGTGCTGTCTCCTGGTGAGAGGGTATGCACAGAATTTATTTTGAAGACTATTATAAAAAATACATGATTGAATATATTTTTACAAGCCCCTGGGAGACGAGGTAAATTCCCTATTTTCCTTACGAACTTCTCCCCTTTGCCTCTCTCTCTCTCTTGTTTGCTTGCTCGCTCGCCTGCGTGGGGCACACACTGGATCATTGTCACTGTGGTTGGATTCAACACCCTGGCGTTCAGGCCTTGGTGCATTTGAGAAGGCAGAGGACCTTGATTTATCCTGGACTTTCCTCCCCTTTCTCTGCCTCAACAAAATCAGAATTCGCAGCAACAATTGACAAGCTAAGTTAGCACATCCATTCCCATTTCTCCAAGGCCCTCCATCTTCGTTGGTGGTCATTTTCTGACACAACCTCATTGCACAGCCTGGTGTTACCGGTCTAGGGGCTGCAGCTCGCCTCAGCATCCCCCTCTGGAATGATCACCAGGCTCTGCTCTTGGCCTTCACAGGAAGCCAGGGCCGTGTATGTGTGGACCTCGTCTACATGCCCGGGTGCCTGTCATTGCCCGACCATGTGTGTTGTTTCACCAGCAATAAAAATCTAGCAGGGAAATAAATGAATGCTAAAATTAGTTTGTCCTTTGACAAGATCTCTCCAGTTGAAAAATTGTTGTTTATCTCTGTGCCTGGGCAGGCTTTGCTAAAATCCAAATTAACTGCCTTGCTTATTGGTGCTGCAGATGGTCCTCTGCTGAATTCTCCTTGAAAGGACATTTGAACTACAAAGTCTAGCCTCTGGCAGACTACACCACATTTTGCTATAGGTTTTTTTTTTCTCCTTATGCTAATTGTTGGATGCACACACGGAGTCTACCGCTGAACCCTGGGCCTCTGCATCTATTGGATTAGTGGGTGGCTGTATGGATGGACAGGTGAATAGACTGGCAGATAGTTCAATTGCCATATGTCTTAGATGTTGAATTTGCTGCTATTTAAGAGGAAGAAAAACCTGTAATTGGTGTCCTCTCAAAATGTTTTTGCTAAACTTCACCTCATGGCTGTGTCTTTGGGCTTCATTTAAAAAAAAACAATATTTATTAAGCGTTTAGTATGTGTTAGGCACATGGGGTATAGATTTGAACAAACTAAGAATAGTCCCTGCATTCAAGGAGGTTACTACCCAGTGTGGGAGACCAGCATTAAAGTCATTACACAAATAATTGTAACTATAGCTGCAATTGAGTCATATAGCATAAAATTTACCATTTTAAAGTGTATAATACATTGGTTTGTAACATATTCACAGGGTACCTTTTTAAAAAAATGGTACACTTGAGCGAAAAATTCAGTCTCTTCTGTTGTTTTGTTGGTGCAACCACAGTTTATTGGTTTGACTGACTCCAACAGATTTCCCATTATGTTGGCATTGTGATCATTAACGTCATAAATGGGGAATGAAGGGGGACATCAGAGAAATCCAGTTCAGACATGGTATCCTGGAAGCTGCCCTAAGGGAGCTGCTTCTTTCGAACAAGAGCCGAAGTCCTTTGACCAAGGTGGCTCCAGTGAGAACTTTCTTCTCTGCCCCTCACTTGAACTTATTGGTCCTGGAAAACCTCCCCAGCATCCTAGAATTGCATTTTTTTCTAAGATATATCCTAAGAAGTTCCTAAACTAGAGGTAGAAGAAACTCAAGGATTGAGAACCTCTGGCGTCTACATCCGAAAAATCAAATGCAGTGAAACATTTCATGACATCGCTCAGCTGACTGTTTAAGGAAAATCACGGCTCATTCGCTAGTCTTCTTGGAATGTAAATCACTCTTGTTTTCAGACACATTGCAGGTCTATCTGACGGGGCCCATGTGGGAATTAAAGGGATCTGAGTTTGTTTCTGGCTTTGCCCAAGTTTTGCTTTGCCTTCTTGTTCTCCTCTGGAGATTGGGGTGATGCCACAAGCAGTCTCCTTTACGGGGTGTTGAGATGGAGATAATATAGTTGAAGTAAAGCTGCTCTGGACCTGATCTGTCTCCTACTGGTGAGTAAGCTCTCAGAAACTGGTCTGGGATAGTCAGCCATCTATACAGAAAGTTCCAAGGGTCCATCCCTCCCCTGACAACATTGATTTCATCGGAAGATAGCTTTGTGCCAACCCCAAGGCATCTGGAAAAGTCAGTGAGCCTCGGTGTTGTTATTCAGAGAGTTTGAGACAACGTCCTTAACAGACATCAGTATCAAAGGTGAAGTTCATCATTGTGGGTACTTCAAGATGATGGCAATGCTAATAACTTCTTCTGTTTATATGGTCTCATACAAATTATAGAGCACTTTGGTGTCTCTTATCTCACTCATTCTCATGTCCACCTTGTAATGCAGGAAAGCTGTGATAATCACATAGTTTAAGTGTAAAACCCAGGACTCAGAGAAGCAACTTGCCCTTGATGACAAAGGTGGCTCTTGTAACCTCCACCTTTTCTTTCCACCCCTTCTTAAAACCTCATCTAGTTTCTCCACTGTGCTGTCTTGCAGTTTATTTCCCTATGATTTACCAGTGACTTGTCAGTTCCATTCACAGTTCTTAGGTAAAACACCTGCTGATATAATTGCTGACATTAAAAAGACTGTCATGAATACATCTGACAATTAATGTGATTCCCTAGTTCCCTTCTGTTTCATAGATTCCTTGAGTTTGGGTTAACTGAGTTTTATTTTTGCTGGCAAGCTGGTGATCCTTTGGGTTGAATCAGTGACAGAGCCCCGGGAAAGCCTCAATTCCTTTCCCCTTGGAGCACAGGATGACCGTGCAGGGCCTCTGGATATGAGCGGCAAGATGCTGCAGGACTTGCTTTTTAACCATACGTCCGCATCCTCCTCTTCTCCTTTCAAAGGTACATGACCGATGGTGGGCTTGGCCTCTACACCCGCCGCCTGAACCGGCTCCCTGATGGGATGGCTGTGGTACGGGAGACCCTACAAAGGAACACCTCCCTGGGCCTTGGGGATGCTGACAGGTAAGCTTGCTCCCCTTGGGGTTGCCCAGGTGCAGAGGTCATTCCAGAGGGGCCTGAGAACTGAGAGTGGTGAGAGTGAGAGTGGATGGGTGCTGCTGAAACCTGTCCTCCCAGAGGTTGGGAGGCCTTGGAGGCGGGCCTGGGGTTAGGAGCTGGCACAGCAGGTGGGAGAAGGGCTCTTGAGTCCTGGCTCTGGGTGGGGTGATGCTTCTGACAGCAGGAACACCAGGAGCTCAGGCTGGGCGTCGTTCTTGTTGTTTTGACTGTTGCTACTGCATGTTGATCAGTTTAGAGGTCCCCAGGGATCTGCTTTGCTTCCTCTGTTAGCCAGCTTTCTAGGGATTGTGCCTCAGAAGAAACAGAGTCCCTGGTGATGCACAGAAGGTCTGTGTGCAGAAGGGTGCTCTCCTGGCCTGGGCTGAGCGGGCTTCCCCACAGCTCTCCTGTTGCCTGGGGCTGGGAGGCAGGTTTAACCATGTGTAGCCTTACACACCACACGCTGAGGGGTCGACATTGTAAAGCTTGACTGGTCTTCATTGCTTCAGGGAGAAAAAGAGCTTCAGAAAACACTACGATAAAGAGGAGTATTTGGCCTCAAGTTTCTAGTCTTTCCTCTGACACAAACCAATTCCATGACTATGAGCAATCTGTTAAGGAAGGGGTTTGGACTGTATGATTTCCAGGATCCTTTCCAGCTCTGATGTGCTGTGTTTCTAGTTCTCAGTACCCTTGAATGATCTGACTGTTGAAGGATTTTTCAGGCATACTTGACCTCTTTCCACGTCTGGGTTGATGAGACATAACGTGGAATTTCGATGTGAGTGGTTGGAAATCACGGTGCTCTTTTTGGATGTGAAATCTCGCACGTTGGAGGGCCAGCTCTCGGTAGCGCAGGTCCAGCCTCTTGCTATTCTCTTAGCCCAACATACTTTTTGCAGAGAACGTGAGGACTCCTGTAGTTCTCTGGCTTCGGAGAAATAGGGCACCATTGTTAAAGAGACAGACAGTGAAGTTACTCCCAGAAATGGAATTTGTCTTGGCGGGGAGGTAATTAGGTTGGTTGGTTGGTTTTGATGGAGGTACTGGGGATGTTAAGCTTGCGCTCTACCACCGAGCTATAGCTCTCACCCCGCCACGTGGAATGCACTGCAGGGGAACCTTCACCTTCTCTCGGGGGCAGCTGAGAAGCTTGGGCTGGGGTGGAGAGGGCCGAACTAGTTGTCGGGAACTTGACATCTGCCCAGGGCCCAGGCTCTGCCACCAACTTGAATGTGTCCTTCTCAGAGTCTCCCCAGTGTCCAAGGTGGTGATTTATACCAGAGTTGACAAAAGACTGCTCCATTCCACTGCCAGCTCAAGTCAGCTTTTTTCCTGTAATTTTATTTAAAGTATTAGTTTGAAAAGCCGTTTGCAAACTACTCCTCCTAAGGCTAAGAATAAGAATCTCTATAACTAAACTCTTTGGAGTAAATATCAGCCAAAAAAAAAAAAAAAGTCAGTTGTTGTAACACTCCCACTGGAGATTTCACTGTTTGCTAAATTATTTTGCTTATGTGTGTTCTCTTGTAAACATGGAGTTGCTTAGTAAATCTATTAGCGTAAAGTGGAGGCCTTACGAGGTACATTTCCCCTTGTAGCAGAAGCGGAGTCTGCGCTAGGCAGTTTAATTTAATGCTTCATTGCAGGGTTAATGGAATTATTATACATCACAGCTGAGCTTGTTTCTGCTTTTTGGAGGTGGAAGATTGGGTGGGAGCTGGAGAGATGGGTGGCATTCGCTCTGCTGTTCCCATTCAGCCTCTGTGGTGGGACCAAATGGACAGCAGTCCCTTCTGGTTCTCCCCAGACTGGGATATGTTCTGCCCAAACTGGAATTGCTCAAATGTGATCAGTTAAGACTGAATGGAGGGGGTGAGGATGTAGCTCAGTAGTAGAGTGTGTGCTTAGTGTGCACGAGGTCCTGGGTTCAATCCTTGGTACCTCCATTAAAAACAATGAATAAATAAATAAACCTAATTACTACCCCCCCCAAAAAAAGAGATATTTAAAGACTGAATGGATAACTGACCACTTTTTGAAGAAAAAATTCAGGTGGCTTAGGAAAAAGATTTAATAATGCTTATAAATTTCCTATTTCATATGTGTGGACCTGTAGGCTGTGAGATACTCTGCATTGTTCTTGAATATGTTAAATTCCTTTAATCCCCAAAGTTAGTGTAAACAGACCATAGAAATGCTTTATCTTTGGCTAACTTGAAGTAATAGTAGATTTATTTCTTTAAAGTTCCTCATGTAAACCTCTTCCCAAAAGTATATTCTAGATGAGTGTTTCCCAAAGTGAGAGGCTAACATTAATAGTATAGGAAATAATTCTAGATGGTAGACAGGAAAATATTTCTTTTTAACAATTACGTTTTAATTTTAATTAAAAAAAAACCCTTATAACTAGCACAGCAAACCCATGATTTAACAAATACGGCTTAGGGTAAGGATAGCGTAGGCTTGAGACAGTTTAATGTGATCTAGCAAGGAAGGACATCACAGATGGTGTAAAGTTGTTAAATAAACAGTAGTGTGCAAATGGCTACAGGTTAGGTGATCTTAATCTTACTCCTGTAGTTGGAAATACAGTGTTTAAATAATTTAGACAAGTGGAAAAAATGCAAAGAACCGAGCACCTTTCCAGAATTCTTCCCTTTTAACCTGAAAAAAGAACTAAGATGTTTCCGTGACATTTTTAAGAAAAAAAAACGGCCATTTCCTTAAGGATTCACCCACAAGCAGCAAACTCCATGAGTTCTGCAAAGGAAATGGGAGAAGTACCTAGAGCTGACTTCTAATTAGAGCTCAGCCAAGGGAAGACCAGTACGAGAAGGGCAGATCACCTCACTGTACAAACAGGAACATCATTAACTTTGGCAGTGCAGCCCCGGAGGACAGCTACCCCAGGGGAGGCCCTCAAGGACGCTGACCCCCCCAGGCAGGCTGTGGCTGTTTGCAGCAGGATGTGGCTGAGGTATCTTCGGGGTTATTAAAAGTAACTGATAAGAACATGTACCTTCGGAGACTGGGAGCCTAGACCATGTCTGCTTGTGAGTCTCACATGTCACCGGCCGGCTTCTGAGAAATAATAAATGACGACAGTAAATTCAACATGCTAAGTCTGCCCTTGATCTCCTGTCACTCTTTAGGGTTGCCACCCAGGTCTCCAGTTTTTACCTGATCGTCATCAGGGGCTGCTTCTAGCAAACTGGAGCCAGCCAGCTGGAAAGGGAGGATCAAAAGGGACAAATGGAGGTGGCTGATTACGAGCTGTTGGCCCCAGATAACAGACAAGTAGAGAGGGCTTTTGCCTAGAGGTCTCTGAAGTGGCAGCCTGGGAGGAAGAAGAAATAGGACAAGGAGGGCCCCGAGACTGGGCTGGCACAGTCAGATGGCTTGTTGAACTTTTGCCAGTGGCGTGCACTGCTGTCTCCTCAGCACCTGTCAAAAGTTCTTGAACTCCAGCGAGCTGAGTGCTTTCAAAGCTTCCAGCTCTGCTCTAGGAAAGTTTCCACTCTCGGGTCCCTTTCTTTGTGCCCCCAAAGCATCTATGCAGTCCATTCTGGCATCGCGCTTTAGCCCACGGTGGGCTGAGGCACTTAGATGCCCCCACCGACGGCATCCCCTGGTCACCTAAGTGTCATTGAGAGAGAGCACATGGAGGACAGAAGTCAGGCTCCTGTTCACATAGATCCTGAGAAGGACTTTGCAAAACTACTTGTTAACTTTCTCTCAACCATTAGAATGCTTACTGAATACCAGTGGCTTTTACTAACTTAGGTAGTAATAAAAAGAAAAAGCAAAAATTCATGCTGCATGGCAAAACATCAGTCTGAGACGTGAACAAAGGAAAGTTGCCCTCCCACATCACCAAACAGGAAGAAGAAACTGCTTTTTTCCTTGTTACAGGATGTTCTTTGCCCTGCAAATTCGGCACATTTTAGGTATTGAGATGGCGTTTCACTTGGGCTTCGGTCATTGTGTAAACCTGACTGTCTACACTGGGGACTCTGGCCTTGGTGCCCCGAGCCGTCCAAGCCTCAGCTCGAACAGGGAGTCCCACAGTGTGAGGGTGTAACTATGCAACCTGGTATTTGAGCAGCCTGCCAAGCCGAGCCCTCCGTCCTCGCCAGGAGGAGTGTCACAAGATCTCCAAGAGCCCAGGACACTGCTCGGCTTTGTGATTTGTGTGGAACAACACAGCCTCCTGGCACTGAGCAGTGCATTCAGATTCAGGCCTGACCTGGGGAGAGGAGTTTAGTCCAGGCCAGAGCTCCCAAGCCAGCAGATGGAATTGGTGGGAGCCCTCACCACACGATAGGTTCCCGTCCCAGCTATCCCTGAAGCACAGCCCCTGCAGAGGTCTGCGGACTGGAGGGAGCACGGATGGGAATGTCTTCTCCCCTCACCCCCCCTAACAAGCTTGGTGTAGGGAGAGTGACCCCCCCACCCCTACCCAAAGACATCCACGGCGTAATCCCCAGCACCTGTGAATATGTTGGGCTACATGGCCAGGGGAATTAAGGTGGCTTATCAGCTGACGTTGAGATAGATGGACCTGGATTATCCAGGTGGACCCAGTGTAATCACAGGGTCCTTAAAAGTGGAAGAGGCAGGCAGGAGAGGACGGCAGAGTGATGAGATGTGAGAAGGACGCCACCTGCCCTCGCTGGCTTTGAAGATGGAGGAGGGGGCCGCAGCCGAGGAATGGGGGTGGCCTCTAGCAAGAGGAGAAGGTGAAGGAGCAGATGCTCCCCGACAGCCTCCAGAAATAAGCATGGCCCTGCTGACACCGTGACTTCAGTCCATGAGACCCAGTGCAGACTTCTGTCTGAAAGAACTATAAGAGAGTGCCTATTTATTGTTTTCACCCAACAAGTTGATTGTGATTTGTTGCAGCAGCAATATAAAACTAATACACACCTTCATCAGAAAATAATAAAAATAGTCACAGTTGC